TTGCCGTGCCTCCATGGCTAAACAAAGGAGACAATGCGTGGCAGATGACAGCGTCGACTCTGGTGGGCATCCAGAGCATGCCGGGACTGGTGATCCTTTATGCTAGCATCGTCAAGAAGAAATGGGCAGTCAACTCAGCCTTCATGGCGCTTTACGCCTTCGCCGCCGTCCTCATTTGCTGGGTCCTTGTATGTTATCGGATGGCCTTCGGGGACCGGCTCCTCCCTTTCTGGGGCAAAGGCGCGCCAGCTCTCGGCCAAACCTTCCTCATCGTCCAAGCAAGGGTTCCTGAGAGCAAACACAGGTCTCCAACCGGGAGATACGAAACCACCGAACCCTTTTATCCTATGGCTTCCCTTGTGTATTTCCAATTTACATTTGCAGCAATTACTATGATTTTGCTTGCTGGGTCTGTTCTGGGTCGGATGAACATCAAGGCCTGGATGGCTTTTGTGCCTCTCTGGCTCATATTTTCCTACACCGTCGGCGCCTTTAGTCTCTGGGGCGGCGGGTTTCTGTATCACTGGGGCGTAATCGATTACTCCGGCGGCTATGTTATCCACCTCTCCTCCGGAATCGCCGGTCTCACAGCAGCTTATTGGGTAATGGGTACTTCAAAATCAGTTTCCCTTTTTGAATCTTTTAAATATCCCAATCTCAATATGGAAATTACAATCTAAAACAGGTCGGGCCGAGGTTGAAGAGCGACAGAGAAAGGTTCCCTCCGAACAACGTGTTGCTAATGCTTGCCGGCGCGGGGCTGCTTTGGATGGGGTGGTCAGGTTTCAATGGAGGAGCACCGTACGCGGCGAACATCGACTCCTCAATAGCAATTCTCAACACGAACATATGCGCCGCCACGAGCCTTCTTGTCTGGACATCTCTGGATGTTATCTTCTTCGGAAAACCCTCGGTGATCGGAGCTGTTCAAGGGATGATGACGGGACTCGTTTGCATTACTCCAGGAGCAGGTATTTCAGAATAGGGAATCCCCATGTCTGTTTGGTTACAAAGATTAACACTTGGAATCGTTGCGATTTGCTTTTAGTTCACCATTTTTATTATATTTATTAAAGGTATTTTTTTCTTATCTAAAATTATAATTATTAAAAATAAAAAAATAAATATTTAAAATTTTATTTGAGTGTAATAAATAAATATTATGTGTAAATAAATTTTTATTCTTAAATTATATAAAATATCAATTATAATTAATTTAATCATACATTAACACTTCTACTAAGGCGGCGTGTGAAAAAGCTTGGGAAAATCATAACTTCAAACACAACCTAGGTTATTCAGATCGTGAATTGTTTTGTTCCAGGGTTAGTGCAATCTTGGGCTGCAATTGTGATGGGGATCCTATCCGGTAGCATTCCATGGGTGTCCATGATGATCCTACACAAAAAAAGTAGCATGCTTCAGAAGGTAAAATGGGCATCATAATATTTTTCTGATTTTTCTACATTTTTGTTTTCTATTTTGATTCCAAGCTTGATCGATGTTTGACAACGTCTTACGGCTTTACCGTCCTATTCCCACTAACTTTTTTCTACATTGAATTTAGACTAAAAGCGGTAGATAAAAGAAATTTTGTAGGGCTCATCATCTTTGACAATGTGAAGAGAGAGGCTGAATGTAAAGGACGTTTTTGTTCTAATGTGACTTTCAGGTGGATGACACTCTAGGCGTGTTTCACACGCACGCCGTGGCTGGGCTTCTGGGTGGACTCTTGACGGGGCTGTTGGCCGAGCCAGCACTTTGCAGACTTATATTGCCGATTGAGACGAGGGGTGCATTCTATGGGGGGAATGGCGGGGTGCAGTTCATGAAACAATTGGTGGCAGCCCTGTTTGTTATTGTCTGGAATGTTGTTTCCACAACAATAATCCTACTGGCCATAAGGTTGTTTATACCATTAAGAATGCCGGACGAGCAGCTGGTGATCGGAGATGATGCTGTTCATGGTGAGGAAGCCTATGCGCTGTGGGGTGATGGAGAGAAGTATGACCCAACGAGGCATGGTTGGAATATGTCCTTGTACTCTGAGCAAACAGCACCTCCACCTTTTGTGAATGGTGCAAGAGGAGTAACTATCAATTTGTAGGTCACCAGGGTGCATAGAGTTGACTGTAAACAGGAAGAGATAAACCCTGATCAAGTGCATATCATAGAAGCAGTTTTTCTAGTGAATATAGTTTTTGAAAATGCGAATTTGCTCAACCAGGCTCGCCTCTTATATCTAGAGATATTGCGAGGAAGAGGGGGCTTGAAACTATTGTAAAACATTACTTTTGACAGGTTCAGTTTTGTTACTAGTTTCATGCAGTTTTTTCAGTTTTGTTTTTCTTTACTGTTTTTTACTTTAGTTTTTTCTGGATGAATAAAAGTTTACATTTTAACCAAAAAGAAGAAGAAGAAGAAGAGACCTTGCAAAAAAGGAGAGATCTTCTCCCGCTTACATCCTATTTGAAATGTTGAGAGTGGCAACAATTGACATTATGGTCTGCTCCAAACAATGTATACTACTGGTTATTTCTAGTTTCATCAAAAAAATAAAAAAAAATACCAATCTAATTTTGATGTGAAATAAAGTAGCCTTAAAATTCTCAGGCCAAAAATTTTAAAAGAATCCTATTTGGGGCAAAGAGGAAAGATATGTTAGGTGGGTTCATCAAAAAGACTAGCCTAGATGGCCAGTGTATTGCATACCTGTGCTGTCCTTGGAACCATGGCAAGTTTTTTGCTTATCCGAATCTCTGTGCCCTTATATTGCCTGTCAACAGGAAGTTGGCATTTAGGCATTACATCCATCATTCTCCTAGTCATCAAATTGTTCATACCTCTTCAAATTCTATGAAGAGCTTGATCAAAATGCTGAAATCATGTCCTAGCTGAACAAAGGACAAGGGGGAAAATCCAAGTTGAACTGCACAGACAGAGATGTACTGAAAGCAAGCATTTATGTAAGGGGCAAATTCAGATATCTGCAACGACCAGGCTGACTTTGAAACCATATGATACCTTCAATATTGATAAATTCCAAGTATTAAAATTCTGGTTATTTTATAACCAAACAATTATGCTCTTTCTAGTAATGTCAGCAAAACAACCTTTGGGCAAAAAATGGGGCACAAAAAACCATCAAAACGAAAAAAGGTGCCCTGCATGGTACTTATACATTCTACATATGAGTTCTATCCACCAAGTAATAGAGCAAATGGTGAACTAATCGAACTGTTCCCAATCCTGGGTCACTTTTGTTGAAGACGATGTAGGCGGAGGTGGAGTCAAGCTTCCAACTCCAGAGTCAAATGTCTCCCATTCAGTTGTCACTGAAACAGTTTTGCTACTGTTGTTAAATGGGTTGGAATTTCTTGCCTTGAGATTGTCCAGTGCTTCATGGAAGTTTTGGACACGACATACCTGCAACAGAATATACATATCTCAGGAACTACGTATGCAACTTCATAATTATGCAAAGCTTGAAATATAGTCAGGGAAAATTAAGGATCTAGACTCAAGTAAGTTGCATAAAACCATGAAAAAATGAGGCTGAATTAGAATTGCTGGCATCAATGATTTTTCACAAAGAAATAGAAAAATGTAAAAAACACATGCATTGTGCATATGTATCTGTGACCAGATAAAACCAATCTAGATATTTGTGCAATGTCCATAGATGCCTATCACCTATCCATGCTGGGTTGATATATGTTGGAAAGATCACATGGATACAATCCTAAAGATCAAAAATAGACTCTTGAACCTTGATGCATTTAAAAGAAAGAGAGTCAAAAAAAGACATTTTTGTTTGGCAATAAAAAAGAGACATTTTTGAAAGAGTAGATCCAGGTTAGTTAAACAAGGGCATAAGTGCTGGTCAGATATTTGTAGTCCCATGCTTTGCCATACAGAAGCCCCTCTTCAAATGGAATAGAAAAGGCAAAGCTCTCCACATGCAGCAAACCGAACTTGTTAAAGCTGGTTATGCAGTTATTCATATCAGATTTGAATGGACTCATTTGAAAACACACACACACATCGTGAATTGTAGAAGGTAGTAAAAGCTCACTGCCAAAATTTACTAACCTCAGCCTTCCGCTGCAACCTTGCCTCTCCTTCAGCCTCAATGCCATCCAATTTCAGCAACTGTCTCATAAGCAACTCAGCTGACATGTCAAATTCCTCATCTGCAAGCTTAGTCCCACTGTTCACTGCCACTTCTAATGCAGCAACCTGTAAAAAAAAAAGGGGGGGGGGGGGGGGTAAAAAAGAAGTGAGTCTAGATGTATCATAGCTTTCATTCGAAATCAATCAAGAGAGCAGAAGATAAACTCACCCTTTCTGAGAGCTTATCAATCTCTGTTCTGACTCCAGCAACCGCAGCAAAAGCCTTTGACATTTCTTCACTTACTTTCATCTCCTCAACCTTATTCTCTTTGCTTGATGGATCCTCCAAAACCTTTGTCTCTTTCCATGACGGGTCCTCCAAAACCAAAATCTTCCCCTTATCTTTCACACCAGCAGTATGTAAGTGCTCTTTGTCCTCCTTTTCTTTTCCTCTAAACAAGAGCTTTTGCTCCTCAGGTTTCAAGCCAGTCTTTTGTGCAATTTCTTCCTTCAATTCCGCTGTAGTTATTCAAAAAAAGTAGAGATAAAGAACCCAACAGTAGGCTCGGAAAGATAAACCTAACAGGTGTCATAATCCATTTTCTAGACCAACTAGAAAACGAACAATTCCAAAATTCGCAAGAACAAGTACATAATACGTAAAATCCCAGTAAAAGGCACAGTACAAACAAGCAACAAAACCCTAAAAACTTCAAAGTCTCTACTTTCCAATTGATGTCCCGGAGATCAGGCATAAAAGAGGGAAATAAAAGCAATTTTAAAAAACCCCAAGAAATTATATTAGGAATTACCGAACGTAGAATGTGCGGGGACGTAGACCTCGTGCTGGTGAGGCCCATGAGCGACGTTGATTTTGATCAGGGGCTGACCGGAACAAGCGCCGGCATCATGAATATCGTGATCACCATCTTGTCCATCGCGATGGTCTCTCCGCTGGACGAACATGCCACCGGGTCTCACCTCCAATTCGGCTGCTTCGTTTTTGCCATTAGAATTACTCATTGAAGAACCCAGAGCGGAAACTGCCGGAAGATGTTGAAAGTGTGAAGGAATTGGACTGGAGAATAGCTCCGACAAACAGTAGAAGATGCCAGAAGGGTTTTTCGGGAACTTGCGGTCGCGGTGCTACAGGAAGAAATGTCGGTTTCGTACTTCAAGAAGATGATGCAGATGATGAAGTAACTGTTGAGCCGAAATTTATAAGGAAGCCGATTGACTTTTGTTTGGGGAAAAAAAAAACGACGCCGTTTTTTCTTTCAGTTTTCATCCTAAACGTCGCCGCTTTTGATGCTTCTCTTCTGTTTTTTCTTTTTTGACTTTTGTTCAAGAGTAGTGTTTTTTTTTTGGCCAGATTTTTTAGGAAAAATTTGAGATGGAATGTGTTAATGATTACAGAATCCCTTTTCGGATTTGACTATCATATCAGGGCTGCCACACAAAAATATTAACATCACACAAAACAAAAATATTAACATCACACAAAACAAAAATATTAACATCACACAAAACTTTCTGTTTTATCTGATTTTACTTAGTTTATAATTAATTAGATTATTTGAAAACATGAACCGGACGATTTAAACCCAACCACCTCAAGTTTTAAGTGTCTAGGTGAAGTGATCGGAGTTTCAAATTCTATCACCGTTGTGAACTTCACAAAAAAGTGACCTGATAATCGCATACTTCATTTAAAGGGGTAAAATATTCACCCAATTTAGAAATCAAATATTCACCCAATTTAGAAATCAAATATTCAATTGTTAACAACTAATTCATACTAATTTCTTAACCATTACCTTTATAAAAAAAAAATTATTTGAAAACATTGCCTTATTAGTTAATTTTAAACTATTAAATAATGGATATAAGTTCTTTTATTATTAGTCAACAATTTTATTACCTATTAGTCAATAATTATATTTATCAAGTGTTCCAAATAATAAGACCAAATATAATCACAATATTTTGTGTGGCCATCACCATGCTCCCATATAAGTATTCAAATGACAATATCTGCAACATTCAACTGCTGCCCACAGACCAAGCAACGTGTGTTCAGTTGCATACCCCTCTGAGCAAGCAAGTCCGGTCTTTAAAGTCCATTTTTAACTATCAACCATAGAACAAAACTGTGCCTGGGAACACTTACACCAATCAGGCCAACTTTCACTGAACTCGAGCACTTCTCTCGCTCGGCAACACATAACCAGAAGCAGTTGCATAAGTTCAAGACTTACTACAAGTCTACAAGTACAAATAGCAAATATCACCTGATTATTGTAACTGCTTATTTCTTCAAGTGTTGCCAGGACAGGGAAAGCCCTATCAAAACCATGAGAATTCTCCATATACCGTGATTACACCAGTCTGATCACAAGTAGGTCTATTAATAACGAGAAATATCAGCTCCAATGAATCTCACCTCTTATCCAGGTTATCTTATTGATCACAGAAAATTTCACTACTGCCCACAATCTTGAGAAAGTTAAAGAAGAAATCGAAGCAGAACATGTTTAAGCATATCAGGAATGAACAGGAATAGCCTATTTTTGGAGGCTACATAAGTAGAACATAATACCACAAAATTATCCCCTCAGATCATCCATATAAACCTTGTAGATTACAAAGAAACAAACAACAAAGGACACAGGTATGTTAAATTGCTGAAAGAACAAAAGAAGGAAAGCAAAGATTGACATCAACCAAGTTCCAAAAGTGTTTTGCTCTCATCTCTCAATCACAATGTGATGGCTAGCCAACAATTGTGGATCGACTAATGCCCAATTAATTATACATTATGTTTTCCAAATGCCTATTCTAAAAAACAATTAAAAAGAGTAAATATGAACAAATAGAAAACACTCAAAAAAACATTTTTCAATGTTAGTATTTCTGGTTAGCTGTTCTGATGGATGACAAAGAACAACTCTGTATGAACATCCAAACACATTGATAAGAAAACATCTAATAAGATTTCCAACTAAGAAGTGAATTCCTTGATCCAAAAATGAGAATTGTTTGGGTGTATTATTGAAGATCAAGTATATCCACAATAGTGGCATTACAACAGCAAAATTGGAAACAAAAAATCTTCAAGTTATTCAATTTCAATTGCTTTCTTTCTCTAACTACTTAACCCCAAATTTCAATCTATAAGTCTCATTGTCCTAACTGTATGGAAGAAAATCAAATTCCGCCAATCCAATAAAAATAAACAGTACTCTAATAAAATTTGGTCAAAGTATCATAAAAGAATACTCATGTCATACCCATCAATCTAGGATCCCTTATCTCCTTCCAGACCCTCTTCAATCTTCTTCTTATTCTTCTCAAGAGCAGCTGCAACCTCTTTGGGCATATACTTCTCGTCATGCTTAGCAAGAACCTCAGACGCCGCGAAAAAACAATCCCCGCCCCTTGCTTTTGCTGATACACTCTTCCCTGAAGTGTCCTTCTTAATATCTTCTGTAAAAGGCTTCACAAATCCCTCCACCACGACGGAATGGCCTTCTCTGAACAAATCCGGCAAAGAGCCCTCGTATCTCACCAAAATATCCGTAATCAAATCGGTTATGACGAACTCCATCTCTTTAGAAGATCCTGGTTGCACCACACTTCCTTCAAGCACCAAACCCCCGAGTCTAAACTTGGCTTTTGAAGGATTCTGGTTGTATTTCTCAAGGGCATCAGTCGGGGTAACGTAAAACACTAACTGATCTTGAAAATTGTTGAGGACTAAGACCACGAAACCTGCGATGCAACTGAAGGTTAACGCGTAGGTCCACAGGCGGCGGGTCTGGAGCTGGCGAGCACGGGCGCCGATGTCAACCTTCTTGGGTCGGGAGGGAACGCGGCGGGCAGTGGAAAGAAAACGGAAGCTGGAAGGGGTGAAGTGAGAATTGACCGTAGCGACTGGGAGGAGTCGGCGATCGGGGATCAAAAGTGGAGGTTTGACAATGGATGAAGTTGGGATTTTGTGATTGTGGATGGTTTGAAGGAGGTGAGATCTGAGGCGTGAGGCAAGCCTGGTAGCCATTTGATTGATTTTCTCTTTTCTCGGGAAAGTGAAGGAAATCTATCGGGAAAATTGGGAAAAGAGGTTGAATTGATTAGGGTTTTGGTTGGGGTTTGCGATTAAGGAGCAACGGAGAAGGCCGCCCATGCCATTTTGTTAGGATTAAGTATTTATTATTATTTTTTTTAGTGTGAATTTTTTTATATTCAGTTTGGGAACTTTTTCTAATAAAGAAAAAGAAAACAAAAATATTTGAGGGTGTGAATATTTTTTTTATCTGGCAAAAAAGGCCGACTTTTTTGACATAGAAAAAGGAACACAGAAAAATTCTATAAAAATAAATGCACGAATTAAGTCTATATAATAAAAGTCCAAGTATATGCGTAAATGGTTGTACTAATCTATATAAAAAAATAAAAAAATTTTCACATAAATAAATTTACAAGTATGAATTTGAGAATAAAATAAAGTCTATAAGAGAAGGAGGAATGAATAACACCGCCGGCAGACACTTAGGTTTTTGGGTCCAGTGATGTCAAATCATGCATAAATGTATTTTTTTATTTTAGGTAATAATTCAAATTTCGAATCTGAACCCTTACAAATTCGTTAAAAAAAAAAATTAAATAACACGGCCGGCAGGTTGAGGAGTTAAAAGGATACTAATAGCATATGTGGGGTTGAAGGGAATGCAGAGAAAGAGAAGATTTTTTAATTAATGGAATTATAATATTTTTAAAATATTTTAATTTAATTGATAAATTTTTTTTATTCTCTTTAATTTAAATATGTAATAAGAGGTTATGGAGTTCCCGAACTACTTTTTTCATTAACTTTTTTAAAATTTTCCCATATAATTATAAAATTATTTATATTTTTACATATTAATATTATAATAAAATAAGGTAAAAATATTATTTTTAATTTATATTTTATTTGACATAATTCTCATAATATAAAATTTTTTTCACATTTTTTAAATAATTTTTTTTTTCTTATGTGACTCATTTGATAAATTTTCTATCAATTTTTCCTTATATTTATTTTTTACCAAACACAATAAAAACTAACAACCTAACAAAATTTACCTATAAATCTTATTAACTTTTAGTACCACTTTACTAACTCAATGTGATGTACACAAACGTCTTTACTAACTCAATGTGTTGTATTATTCTCTTATTAATAAAAGATTTGAGTTTATGGTGCAGCCAATTTTATTAAGTGTTTGTAATTGACATGGTTCAGTTGATTAATTGCTTGTACTTCAATCAATAAAGTGTACATGTTTAAGTTTAAGATATATTGGACTGGCAATGTATTCATAAGTTATACATTAATTCATTTCACACTTGAAGGCTACACTCGTCACTTGCTACATTTATATAATGCAAACTTGCACTCAAAATTTAGCCATCAACTCTGCTTCTGCTAGCACATGCTCCAGCACTTTCTCCTTTGTCACCTGGACACCCACACACAAAAGTATACATTAAACAGAATTAAGCACCCAATTCAAATAAAAAAAAATGCAACAAATTAATTAAAATGCATCCAAATGATTTACCTTGTTACCTAGGTGCAATTCATCATCCAAAGCATAGAGCTTGAACTGAAACCGGTGGCCATGGGACGTACGGTAGCATCGGTCCCTGCCATCCAGGAACCTTCCAATCATTGTTTCCTTCTTTAATCCCCGCATATTACCCATCCATGTCTTCCTCCTTCCCGGCAAACCCCTCCGGAAACCCCTTAATTGTCGGCGGAATGTTAATCACCACCCAATGGGTCCAAGGCACAATGGGGCCGCTAGGGTCGGGCGCATCAATGTCCTCCACCTCCAGCGCCAGAGACTTGGTTCCTTCCGGTACGTTATACCATTCCAGAGGCGGAGATATGTTCTTCTTTGCGCCCTGGCCTTCCTGAGTATACTTCCTTGGAAGCCTTCCTTCATGGTTTATCTGCGGCGACACCAATCTGAACTGATCTTGGTCGCTAGCCATGTTAACGAAATCGAAAGCTCTGTCTTGGATGCTAACAAAGTCGGGTGGAGAGTGTTTATATAAATACAGCGGTGGCTTGAGGACAGGGGTGACACTCGCTGCGAGAAGTTTTGGGCCGTGTCGAGAGAAGGTGCGAGGAGGAAGAGGGGTGACAACACGTCGAAGGCCATGGGAGGAATTATAGAGAATCGAACATGGATACTTCCAGACAGAGAAGGAAGGAATCAGTTGCCATGTCTAAAACTCAACGGAAAGAGGTCGCGATTGGGCTGGTCTGATCATGTGCTTCCTGAGAAAAACTGGATTGCGGACTCTTCCTTTCTGGGCTTTTTAGGCCGTTGAGTTTTTCTTCTGGGCTTTAAAGAAAATTATTAGTTAGACCCGAGGTCAGTGCTTTCAGACCATGAGATTGAGGGCTCTATTCCCACATTCATGGGCTTTTTATTCGATTGTTTCTCTCTCTCTCTCTCTCTCTCTTTTGTGGGGTGGGGTTGTAAATAACTAAATATATGATTTCATTCAAGAAACACAGAAAAGCACGTCAGGGCCGAGAGAGAACAGCCCCATAACGGGCCATTATAAGCATCAGTAGTACACAAAGAGAGAACTGGAGGAGGAAAAGCCTCAAAAACAATAAAGGATGGGGAGACCAGGGAGCTCCTAGTTTTTTTTTGGTCGGCAGGGAGCTCCCAGTTAATCAGCGCACATATATGTTACATTCTCTCAGATATGTGTAAACTTGACAAAATTCAAACTGCTAATGTATTCCTAGCAATTTTATTTGACAATTTATATTAGGGTTTTAATTTCTAACATGTAATTACATGTTAATAATATTTTTTTAATATTTATTGTCATTGAAAAAATAAAAATTTACATTTATTTAATTAACCATCTAATTAAAATTATACAAGTAACATTTATGATAAAATAAATATCATTTTTTTATTTTCTTTATTAATTAATATTAAAAATGTATTAATAATACGGCTTAATTTAATTTTTAGTCTATTAACTATCACCTTGATTTCATTTTAGTCTAGAAACTATGTTTTATTTCTAAGTGGTCTATTAACTTTCAGATTCATTTCAATTTCATCTACCTGATTATCTTTGACGGAAAACTTACTATTCTGTTAG